TTTTGCCACCACCTTCTCAGTTTGTCACCGTGACCCCTAACGCTCCCTCCCAGCTCCTCGCCGGTTAGACGACCCCCCGCCGTCCCTTGCCCCTTTCCCCGGCTAAGAGGTTTGGAGCAAGAGATGTTGTGGGAGGCGGGCAGCCTCTCCAAGCAGGGCACCTCCGCAGGGAGGTGCTGAGCAGCCCACCTCCTCCTGAGCAGCAGCACTGGCCACCCTGCGGCTGAGCACCCCTGAGACCCCCGCCCCTCACATTTGCTCCACCGTGGTCCACGATTGAAAAAAACTGCCAGGGTTGGAAAGGTCCACTAAAGAAATAAACTGTGCAGCCCTATGGATCTCGCCTCCCGCGCTGGGCTGTCAGGTGCAGATCGACCCCTTTCAGCCGATACCTGGAAGTCTTAGTTTGGGAATAAGGCTTTCCAGTATGTAAATATAATATATGCTCGTAATTTTAGATAGCACTAGAAGCGTTTGAAAGTCCTGATATTATTTTAGCAAGCACAAATATTTTCGAAAGCAGTTTAGTCTTCCAGAACCAAACCTGGTATGTCACTGGTACGGGCTTAAGAAAGCCAGATTCTTTGCCTGTTTTGAAAAATAACAAAATTGTAGTGTATGAAAGTGTTTTCTTGTTCAAACGCCATACAGCATTTGACAGTTTTCTGCACTGACCATCAGCGATGCATTCAAAATATGTGTCAGCCCGACAGAGCGCGGTTCATGGCTGACATTCTGAAATAACAAGTTTCTAGCGTCTCACCTCGGTGTCAAAGGGGAGACTATTTATTTTGACGTAGGTATTAGCAATGAGAGCTGTTACGAGGGACCTTCTGGGGGAAAAAAAAGCAATTTAACTGTGAAGCAACCGCGAAAACCCTTTTATTTCCATTTTATCTGCCCCCATGACTGAGCAGGAACATCATGCTGATACAAAGGCTCCGGAGGAGTCTTAGTACTACAAGTAACTCTCAAGGAGGGCAGGGGATCGTGGCCGCAGCTGAGACGCCAAAGCTCCATTTTTCCCCCTTCATATTTTTAAAGGAAAGGGCAAGCTGTGGTGGACCTGGGGAAAAAACGCCCAACTTGGGAAATCTAGGCAAGCTCAGTCCCAGGTTTCACCTCTCGGTTCTTGTGAAGATGCGAACTCGCGCTGTGGTGGAGGTCTCCATAACACGTCTTTGCTTTCAATAAACAGAAGAGCGAGGAAGAACAGTGCGTCTTTTATTACGAGTGCGTTTTATGTGAATTCAATAATAAAAGGCTCCCAAATCTGCAAATCCTTTGCATATGCGTTTTCTTGAGTAGGTAAGCTCTTACATGAGCTAAAGCCTTCCGTATCTTGTTGAGCCATTTATTTACAGCGGATATGCAAAGGCTAAGCCAGACAGCAGCTATGGTTATTCAAGTGACAGAAGCTAATTTGGGGACTGTTAAGTACCGCTACATCAATTCAGCAAAGCTTTTTACTTTACATTTAAATTTGGTTTATCCGAGTTTGAGGCCGAAGGTGTTGAAAAACACTGGGAACTCTTGTCACACGACACCGAAACCTGGCAGAGGAACCCTGACCCGCCGGAGCCCGAGAGCTCGTCCTGATGCTCTTGAGCCTCCCGACCCCCCCTCAGCGCTGGCACGCGGCTTTGAGCCGGGTCCTGAGCCGTGCCGTTACTGCCTCGCAACTACAGCTGATGCTTTCGTGCGGCACTTGTCGGGCAGAAGTTCTGATGAAGGGTAATTATGATGATGGTGTCGGACTAATTGTATACCGATTGCTGTTATAATTATGCTTAAGCATTTCATAGCCATCCGCAATTTTGTCTATTGATGTAGCATTTCTTCTCCTTAAATTCAAATACCCTCGCAGTAGGTGACTGAACTTTCTTTACTGGGGCCCTGGAATCTAAGCACTAATTTGGCAACTTCCTTTCAAAGGGATCCAAGTTTTTATCTGGAAAGGAAAAATTGTGGTTTTCTTTTCTACTTCATTTACCAGCTGGAGATGTAAATGCGGGGTTTGTCAGAGCTGGTCCGGTGCTCGCTGAAGGTGGTGTGGCTTTTTCCGCTGACCGATGGATTTTGGTTAGAGGACCTCAACGAGCTCTGCCAGCTAGACAAAGTGGCGATTCAGAGGAGGAGGCATCGGGAATTTTATTGAGACGTTTGGTTTCTATACAAATGGAAATAAGCCATTTGCATTTTCTGTTTAGTTTTTTCCTGAAAAACATAGTGTACAATAAACCCGATAAAACTGACTATTAAAGGGGGGCCCTGTTACCGTAACTGTTCAGCAGCTCCCATTTATTTTTGGAATTAATGTCCTAGCGCCTTGCCAAGTCCCTGTTTCCCCCCTTTACCAGAGACACGGAGATTACTGCCTCGCCCCAGGCTGCCGAACAGGCTGGGGCCCAGTTCTCCTCAGCACCAGCCTGGAGACTTGGCTGGGCGTTAACAGCCATCTTAACTGCTGTAGTAATACCTAAATCAACAGACTGAATAATATTATATGAGCAGATGAAGTAATAATTTGGGAATAAATGCTTTAAATCTCAACAGTCCCCAAACTTACGCAGATTTCCAGTGCAAAGGTGGGGAGCCCCCTCACAGCCCTTAGGCGCATGCCTGCTGTCTCCCCCAGTGGCAACGCTCCCATTAGCCCTCTGCTGTGTTTTAAGCCATTAAAGGCTTAAAAATGCCTTAAAGGCTTAAAAACGCCATAAAGGCTGGCCCCGGGGGCGGCCTCTGAGGAACGCTGAGGAGGCCCCATCCCCTCCCCCTGTGCTTGGCGGAGGGCAGCAGGCCCTCACCCGCACCCACCGCCCAGACCCTCGCCCGCTTTGGGTCTCCCGCGCTCGTGGGAGGGGGGGGAGCCGGCTTCGCCCCGCTGCGCCTACGGGGCGGCTCAACGCCGCGCCTGCCACCGCGGGCCCAGGACCCCGCAAGGCCGGCGGGGCCCGGGCAGCGCGGCGGGGGGGCGGGACGGAACGCGCACGC